CTGTGTTTTCAACTACCTTTAAAGGATTTCTGTTTTGCAGATAGAAAGCTTAGACAAGAGTCTAGAAGATTTGCTGACCAGAGTGGATGAATTTGTGGGAATGCTGGACATGGTATGTATAACTTGCATGTAGTTGTGCTTTTGAAGTCAGAGTGCGGTTTATGATGCACTCTGTCTCATTTAAAAACACGAGGTGGGAAGCAGCTTTTGGTCTAGGCAGACGGGTTCCGGTATGAAAACACGCTCGATAATTAGATAACTCGTGGTTGAAAACTACTGAACTTTCATATTTATTTTCATAAATATGCCCATATAGCTATATAACTGCATATTTACATAATTCTGTTTGTATATTTGTCCATGTACATGCATGGAATCCAGTTTTGAATGGCATAATGATAGATGCTTAAAAGGACAATTCTGCTTCTCCTTTAAAATACATAAAGACATCTTCTCTGGGTTTTGTAATCAAAGTATCTAATCAGAGTTGCCAAACCTCCAAAGCTATTTTGTCTTTAGAGGGCCCTTTCTTATCCTTTCATCAGAAAGGCAGCTTTGTTTTCACTTTCACATGGGAGGAAACAGGGAAATGGAATGGAAAGTTTCTATGAGCTGATACTGGTATACAGGCTGTCTTTTAAAGTATAGTACATGTGTTTCTGCTGCACTCCTCTAAGGGGAACTTTACTGGTTGTTGCTTGGCGCTTTTTTGTTTTTAACAAAAAGTTCTGTGGCCTAGCTTATTTTTTTAGCAAAACGTACGTTTTTTAGAAACGTACAGGTAGTAAAATTTAAGTAAAAATTTTAGTTTATTATATTTGATTCTTTAGCATGTCTTGGGAAGTGTTCCATCTCTTAGCTCTGATAATGCTGAGGCAGCCTATTTTTAATATAATTATAAAGGTAAATATTTGCCTATGCAAACTAAATTTTGTTCAAAGGCACTTACTAAACTGTACAAAGAAGTGAGCTTATTAGTTTTAATCTAGTATTTTTATACTAATACTAATCTAGTATTTTTCAACTGCGAGTTTTAATCTGTTAATTACAGCACAGTTCTAGTTTCCAGAATAAAATCTACTACTTAACATTTTTCTTTATTCATTGACTTTTGTGTTATTTCTTTGAATCATTTTAGATTCGAAGTGATTCCTCTCAAGTTGTCAATGAAAGTATACCTCAAATTTACACAAAAGCTACAGAAATGAGACAGATATACAGGAAGATTGACAAACTAGAGGTATGTTTTTGGTATCTTCTGTATGTATTCTGTTTCTCAATAGGGGAAAGAATCAATGATATGCTGTAATTAATTGTGTGTCTTGTGCACATGCAATGGGTTCAGATCCGGTTTGCTCTCCATGTCCAACCTGGGTTCAATACTTCAGGGTTAATGAAGAGAACACAATTTATTAAGAATTTCTGGAGACTATGGGCATTCTAAAACAAAACGCCTTTTATAAAAAAAAAAAAATTATTTATTTTATTTACTGCTTGAAGCAAGGCAGCCATCTTTCTTTTTTCAGAAAGTAATATTACCAGTTTTTTTTCTTTTTGGTTGGGTTTTTTTTTTTATAGTGTCTTTCAAAGTTACTGTCTTGGGAGCTATTCAGAGACTAGCAGAATGAGCGGTCTGTTGATCCCTGGTAAAGCTTCAAAACTATGATTCAGATCCTTGGTCCTACTTTTAGTAGAAAGGCAGATAGAAGTCTAAATTAGTTATTTGAAAAGCAAACAGGAAAAGGAAGACTGATTGTTTTATTAGATTTAACCTGCTTTTGCAGCCTTTTAAGTATCTCAAGTAATTTTTAGCAAAATGGGCTTGTAGATGGAAGGGAAATAGAGCATGGAGTTTTGACTCCTCATTTAAGTAATGGAACTTTTCAGCACTGTCATGCAATACACAATCCTGTTTCAATTTGTTAGTGAAAAAATGGGATTTCTTTTGTTTTTTTCACACTAGGCTTTTGTGAAGATGATTGGAAATAGTGTAGCTGGACTGGAAGAACGGGTCACAAAGGCAGAAACAGACCTTGGAGCTTTTCCGAGCGCGTTCAAGAAAATCTTGCACACAATCAGCATACCATCCTTCCTTAACGTAAGTAAGCTTGTGCCATCATGTGACCAGCTTAGTTGCTCTGCTTACCAGCGTGGGTGATTAAAATAACATTGTTTGTTGCACATATATCTGAATTTAACTGTAAAACTTTCATATACTGTATTAGCATTTTTGCAAAGTTCTCAGACCTTAAAAAAAAAAAAACACTTAAATCACAAATTCTTACAAGGATTTGTGTAACTTTCCAAAATAAGGCTGAATACATGAAGAAGGGAATGTGAAGAGCACAAACAAGTGCACATAATAAACAAGTCATTATATTAAAGCACCCCTGATCTCTGCTGATATGCAAAACAAGTAGGAAGAGCCTGTACGGACAATGCTGTTAAAGGATCATACTGCATTAAGAATATCACTGCAAAAATGTTACCAAAAAAGGAAATGAAAGGTACATTGCACAATATTTTTAAAATAAATGTTCTGTTTATATTCAGTCCACACAGTTCAGTAATCATGTAAGCACCTTGTTAAACTTTCTAAAAGTGTAGTTTTTCTCTACCTTTCCACATTACTACATGTGGACTGTTTCTGTACAGAAGACTTGTTAGTGCTCTCTCTAGTATGGTTCAAAGAGATGCCATACCTAGCCTTAAATAGGGCATTAAAAAATGCCCTAGTTTTAAAATAATCTTCTGGGTTTAAAAAAAAAAACAAAACAAAACACCAAAAAAAAACCCCAAACCAAACTTCTGAACCACCTGATGCTTCTTGGCATCACCTGCCAATACACCATTTATAAGCCCTCCTCCTTGCATCTTGTCAGCTCCCAGATTCTTTTCTCTTTTCCTGTATTTGTCCTGTACTAGCTCAGCATTCTGTATCATAATACTGGTGAGAATGCTGAAATAAAGGAGGTTTGCAGAGTGGAAGAGGGAGATGGCTGTGACTGTTAAAGTGTTTGTGTTCTACATATTGCAAGCACATGTGACAGCAGAGAAAAATTGGTTGTAAAAAGAGTGTGTCTTGGTAAGACTCAGTTCAGGAAACCTGTTCTTCACTGCTATTTCCTGTGCAGTCTTTAAGTTAGTTAACTTCTCATTCTGTCATTTTCTTTGGTGTTGAAATTTAGTGATGTCATCTTTTTCTGAAGAAAAAAAAAAAAGGCAACACAAAGCTGCTATTTATGGGCCAATTGCAAAAACAAACAACTGCAGCAATTGTCTTGAAGAATATTCAACAGTATTTTCCATTTTGTTGCTAAAAACAGTTGTCAAATACAGAATTATAATCTTCAATTGAAAAGTTTGAAAGTTCTAATAAAGTGCTTTTTTTAGTGCATGGAAACACTTTGTCAGCTTAGCAGTTTTTCCACAATTAAAAAGGTGGAAAAGTCTTTGAAAGTGTCAGCAGGCCGAACCTGGCATGTCCAGTGGTTTCTTGGTTTGAGTATGGATAGCAATAAAATCAGTCCTCAGAACTTACTGGTACTAATTGATTAACTAACAGGCAGGTCACTGTTCCACACACGTACTGAGCATTGCAGAGTAAAATATCTATTTTCACTAGTAAACACAAGCATGTCTGAATGAAAATGCCTACAGAGATTTCTCCTCATGCCTAATGCTCAGTTAGCTCACTCGATACGTCAGCCCTTTAGAAAAGAAGGCTGTACCAGTATTGTGACTTTCACTGTAGCTGTAGTTCGCATTTTCCTGCTACAATTTTGATTTAGTCAAGTGCCCTCACTCTCTTCACATTTAAATGTATCTGTTTCTTCACACAAAGGATATATTTTGTATTTCTTAAGCTGTGTATTTGTAATCTCACTTTCAGATTTTGCCCCAAGTTCTTCCCTTGTGAATACCAGGCAGTGTAAAGTACAGTACTGTAAGACTTCTAATATCACTAAGGATGTAGACTCTCCCAAAAGGTAAAAATGTCTGCTAAGCAGCTGCAAACATAACTATTCATAAATGTGTACTTAGGCAACTGTGGGTACTATGCCTGCCTATGAATCTCCTCACTGGATTGAAATTCTCCCCTTCTTGCACATAGGCAAATATAGTGCCTCTTAAATCAGTGTCATGAGTTGCAGAATACCTGTGACCTTAGTTTCCCTTTCTTGCAAGGTGTTTTCTCCTAGGGCAGTACAGGACAGGAAATAATTTTTAAAAACAGAACTTTGATTTCAAAATTTGTTTTTACATTTGGCAAAATTTCTGATACAGAGAACACTGATGATATCCACCATATAGATTTGATCTTTGTTTATATTTTTTTATTTCATTACAACTTGAATGGCAAAACAAACATTTCAGAGAAATTAGTGGTATCGTAAAGTTAAAGACAAACACAATTTAAATGTCATAAATCAGCAATTTTGTATATAATGGGAGAATATGTACTTATTTCATGTGGAGTACAAGTATGCAGCTCGACTGAATATTGGAAGAATTCCACTTAGCTGTTTTGTAGGTATGCTTAATTATATCTTCATTTTGGTACTGTAAAAGCATTACAAACTCCAAGTATACTAATGATATTTGGTATGCTTTTAACTTTATTATTGGTGAAGACTCTAATTTCCTCATCCCAGACAGGCAGAAAAGTACCTGAAGAACTCTGCAGACAAACTGACTGAGAGCTCTGCAAAATAGTTCATCAAAATCTTTTCATGAGTCCAAAAGAATTTTCAATGAATGAAGTCTTGATTTCGAGCCTTCTATTTAAGACCATATATTGAAAACATGCACTGGCTCTGTGTGGCAGTGCAGCTTTATTTACATGCAGGAAGGCTGACACAATAGTCAGTAGTGGTCCTTGCTGTTGTCTCTTTAAATGAGCCACCTGGTATAGCAAAACAATGTACAGTTAATATTTAAAAGAAACATTACACTTTTCCTGAAAAACAGTCTAACAGCTCTTTTCCAGTCCACTAACACATTATTTTTAGTGGTACGTCATAGTACGTATGTTCTAACATACACTTGATGGAGCAGCAACCTTCTCGAAAGAAACATGTGCTAGGTGTGTTTCCATATGAAGACTTTTTTAACTAAGTAAATGAGAACACAGGCTAGGGTTAACTCAAAGGAAGTGGCTGAGGAGAACACAAAGGCCGGAGCAGGAAAGGTAAAAGTATATGGCTTTGGAAGGTTACAATGACTATACCATCAGCTGGAAAAGATTAGCCGTTTGGCTCCTGCAAAGCTGGCGTATCATACACTTTCCAGGACTGCGTCTGTTCAGGTGATAGAATGGCAAAAGTCAAAGGCTGCTTTTCTTCACTAACATTAAGAATATGCCAGACCCATCTGAACTATGATTAAAAATTTGCCCAACTAAGGAGACATGCCTCTAAAACTTCTCTTGGTTTGCATTTTGTCTCTGTAGGCTTTGTTTTAAAACTTGCTTTTTTTTAAGGCGGCGAAAAATAAACTTATCTAATTTGCAGAAATCATCTTCCTCACGACAGCAACAGACCCTCTACGAACCTCCAGTCCTCTTCAAGACTGAAGACTATTTTCCGTGTCTTAATGAAGCACCTTATTGATGATTTTTGCTTTGGGATTGATATGAATCAGCCAGAATAGAGACAGCCAAGTGAACAAAAGAAATGCTAACCTCAAAATAGCTGCATTTCTGAGCAATATTGATGGCATATTGCCATACTGATTCTCATTGTCTTCCTTCAGGCAGTATTTTCAGGTAATCTTTGTTTGTGTACGTTATTTCAAAAGTCTTCCTAAAACAGTATAAATTTTCAGATTATAGTGGGGAAGGAACTTAAGAGTACTTCTGAATTTGATTTTTTTTTTTTAATAGGGGAATAATAGGAAACATACTTTTATATATGCATCTTTTAACACATAAATATCTGTGCTGCTGCAAGTGTAAATAGCTATACCACAAGGATGTCTTCCCCCCTGCCCCCAATGTACTGACTGAGGTGAAAGAAAAACTATGCATAAAATCATCTACTCCAAGTTTTGGAACCTGGTCACTGCAGTTTTTACAGAGAAATGCACCACATTGGGATGTGCAAGTTGCAAGGGCAGGACTTGGAAGATCGTCGAGGAGTCAAGGGCATAGCTTAATGCACATGATCTAGTCCCAGTTCACAAAGCAAACATCCTGCCCGCACTGATGATCATCAGGTCACAGTGACCTGAGCTTCTAATTGTTGCAGCATTGTATTGTTTGATGTGTAATCAGGTGGGCATGATATATGTACATATAACCTCTGTCAAAAAGTATCTAAGTCGAGGCAGGGACGTCCCTGGACTGAGCCTCAATCGGGCACCTGACCAGACTGTCCCCTTTTCCCTCGCAACCCTCCGTGCGGTTACTGGGGCTCTGCGCGTTGATGGCAGTGTGAGTGTATTATCAATAAACTAATAGCGATCTAACCCCTGTTGTGGTCTTGCATTTCACCTGACAGTATTGAACTGCACCATTGTTTCTGAGAACCTTTTTGCTTATGGCCTCATATAATACCTAGCGGGCGTTAATCATAAATTGTTGTATTCCTCTGAACGACAATTTTACACTGCTGTTTTGTGGCCAATATAACTCACTGCAACTATCCAAATTTCAGAGGAATAAGGAATGCATTAGGGAAATGATGACATGTCTGCTGATTTTCATGTTGCAAGCACAGAAAAAGGTATGCAGTTGTAGAGCAAGGATCATATATTAATTGTTAAAGCTTTGAAAACCATATGGTTGTCTCCCAACAGCAGCAGGGACCAGGTTCTAAACAGTACCTGAAGCAACATTTAGTAAAATTAAAACAAAGATTGTGAAGTCAAAATCAGCAGGCTCCAAAAGCAGTTCTAATGTAAAACTTACCTGAATTTTAACATAAAGAGTCTAGAAAAATGTAAATGTGCAGAAAGGAACAGTGTCCTGGTTTTGGCTGGGATAGTTAATTTTCTTCCTAGCAGCAGGCATAGTGCTGTGTTTTCGATTTAGTAGGAGAATAATGCTGATAACACACTGATGGTTTAGTTGTTGCTAAGTACTGCTTATGCTAGTCAAGGACTTTTTCAGCTTCCCATGCTCTGCCAGGTACACAAGAAACTGGGAGGGGGCACAGCCAGAATAGTTGAGCCAAACTGCCCAAAGGGCTATTCCATACCATATGACGTCATGCTCAGTATAGAAACTGGGGG